CCTGCTTCTGCCCTGTCCTTCTTGCGGTGAGGAGAACCCCCGCCATCGCTCCAGACCTGGGGCTGGAAGGCTGCAGCCCGTGAGCCACCCCTCAGTCCCACTCCCGAGGGGCTTTCTCCCGGCCCCACTGCTCAGACCACGCTGCCCACCCAGCAGCGCCGGGAGCGGGGGCAAGGCAGGCTGCACCTTCCCCACAGCACGCAGCGCCGACCTGCGCTTGCTGCCTACTGCTATATGCTCCCCAAAATACAAAAATCCTCTTCCCCACCCCCTTCTTCATCTCCTGCCTTCCCTGTCGCAGGGGATGTCACGCAGAAGACACCCAGATACTGTGAGGCTGGGGGAAGAGCTAAAGCTGCGACCCCAGAGGAGACCCCCGAGGAAAGCCAGCCCCCTCTTTGCATTGCTGAGCAGCTGCTGCTGCATAAACCAGGCCAGAAATATCTCTGTCTCCAGGCGCAGGAGTAAACAATCAGAGGGGAGAAGGTTTACCCTGGCGAGCTGTATGGAAATGACCTTGGCAAAACAACTTCAGTTGGAGGGCTGGGGCCAGCAAGGGCCAGGGCCACCTGCCTTCCTGGAACCTAGTGTAGGGCAGGGCTTGGGAAGAGGCTGGTGTCTCCTCCACTAGCAGTCCTGCTGAGCTGTCCTGACTGCCCTCCCGTCCTCGGGAGCAGCTGAATGTCTGTGCTGGACCTGGTCAGGCACGGCAGATCAGGGCCAGCGTAGAGAAGCCCAAGACATGGTAGCTGCTTGTGGTGAGTATCAGTCTGTTGACTCCAAGAAGCGCTTGCTGGAGCAGATAAGCGATGGGAAAGGCTGCAAGTTATTTCCTGCCTGCATGATAAAATCTGCCTACTATAGGTGTGCCCTGAGAGGTGAAACTTTAAAGCAGTTTGAATGGGGCGAGGATGTGGCTTTTCTGAGGTTTGCAGATGCTCTGGTGGGACTGTACTCCTGAAGCAGCAGCAGCAGTGGAGGGGGTCCACAGGGGCTGACCCCTCAGCAAAGCAGTCCTCCATCCTGCCCCCTCAGCCTCCACACATTCCAGCTGCTTCTGCGGTCTGGGGTTGGGGTGGCACTTGCAAAGTGACTTTATAGAGGTGTTGAAGTGCAGCGAGATGAGAGGGACAAACCGGGAGCAGTCCCCTTTGTCCCAGAGCATCAACCATTGGGGAAACGGAGGCAGGGACAGCAGCTGGCTGGGAGGATGGCTGTAATCATGGGAAGGGTCAGCAGCTGCTCTCAGCAGCGTAGGCAAAACTTTGTCCCCAAAATGAAGGCTTGGGGCTGGGTGCCTCCTGTCATGGGAAGGGAGGAGCAGGGCAGGGGAGCACTCCACATCTCCTGCTCCCTGGGCCTGCTGGAGGCACAAACGTGGCAGCACGGCTCCTCTCTTGTGTCTGCCTCGTGTGTGCTTAAGGTGCTCCCTTGACCCACCATTTCACTCTCAGTGCGGGCGCTACCACCCAGCTCTGCCTGAGCACCCCGCACTGGGACACTCTCCCTGGTTCCCGGCTCCGGCACGCGGCAGCGATGCTGCTGCCAGCACGTGAGCACAGGGCTGGGAGAGCTCCTGCAGGCAGCAGACACGTAACCTGAGCGATGGGCCTTCAGGCAGCCGCTCAAGGCTCTCCACCAACAGCAAAACAAGGGCCTTGGTCTACTTTTTTTATTGAGCACTGCGCTCGTGTGCTCGGAGAGGTATCTGATAACGTTTAGCTTTGATCAGGGGCTCGTCCAGCCCTTTCTCAGCCAACTCCATGCATTTAAAAATCATCAGTCATGAGAATGGCTTGACAGAAAAACTCTGATGCAGGTTGTTTACTCATGCGTTACCACAGAGTTTCTCCTTCAGCTGCTACGTGCGCGCGCGCTGAGATGAGCTGTGATCCGTTGCTCACTGCTCGTTCGGGAATGCAGTTGTCAATCACGTGCCCTTTATGTGTGCAGAAGTGGCACTATGCCTCGAGGACAGGGTGAGTTGTCTGCTGGTTTGCAGATTGTTTCATCCTTACAGCTGACCATAATCATCTGTGGATGGCAGAGTATTTACCCACCGCCCCACAAGAACGGGCAAAGCCCAGGGCCCGCTGCGTTGGAGGCTGCAATAAACGTCACCCTCAAATAACCGCATGTTTCCAGGGTAGCAGGGCTTTAGAGGAGACAGCAAATATTGTGAGACTGGCAATCAAATTGCAAGAGCTGATTTCCCTGAATTCTTAGGGAAAAATAATTCTGTTTTATTCGGATTCATTAATTCACTATTTAGATGTTTTCTGCTTAGTGAATCAGGGAGAAATGGCATTTTGCAGGGGAAAAAAAAAAAAAGATTATAGCAGAGGTGCAGTGAGTCATTTCTGTCTGAGGAGAGAATTGCAGGTTGCTGCTTAAAAAGTGACCTTTTGATTTTCGCCATTACCCAGAGGTGGCTGGGCAGGCTTTGGGAGGGGGTGAGAGCCCTGGCAGCACTCTGCTGGCAGCTCACTCGGCCTTGGTGGCCGTGCCCCAATGTGTTCAAACAAGAACTGGCTGGAGAACAGGATTTTCAGTACACAGAATATGTCTTCTCCATGTGAATCGAGGAATGATGTGGGTTTGAAATCTACATGAGCCTTGTGTCACTGCTTTTTGTCACAGTCGTCACAGAGGTGAAAAAAGCCAACAAAAGCTGCGGACTGGGCCACGTTCATTCTGCGATTTGCTGCCTGCCAGAAGTTCACCACGTCCCCTATATCAAACTGAATTAATGATTTTTGTTTGGGCAGAGCACCAGATGATCACAGTAAATAATTCTCTTTGTAAGCAATGTTTCACTGCATGAGTAAAGAGATAGATTTTTTTTTTCTT